TTAGCTTGTTTTTGTTCTGTTCTGCTGAAACTTTTTTCTTCTATATGGAAATATTTAGCGGTAAAAATAGGTTTGAGTGTTGGTGTCAAGATCAACATGAAATCAAATTAGTGTAAATCTTAAAGAAAATAAATGACTTTTTAGAAGTTCCAAAACACATGCACTTGAAATTTTATCGTGTATATTGGGATAATATAAGCGTTAAATAAATGCGTCTCCAAAATAATTTAGGTTAACACAAAAGATTGTTTCAGAAATCAAATGAATTTGATGGAGCCATCTTAATTTTACAGAAAATAGATCCCTTTAAATACATTCATACCAATGCACACTGGAAATCATTTCGGATCTCTAATTTAACCATTATTTTATTGAAATTTTTTGAATTTTATTCCATATTTTTTATAATGACAATATGGCGACAGAGGACAACAGGCAAGGAAAACACCAAGCGCAGTTTCTTAAAATGTATAATGCTTACATAGGATGAAAGCAGAACAGAAAAGCATAATGCATGATTTTATCTCGAGCACTATTTTCTTTTTACAAGAGTTTTTCTTTGCGCTCCGCTTGGAAGTACCGGAAAGTTTTGATTCTTTTCCATGTTGCAAAAATAAACCGCCCATTTACACTTCTGACAAGTTGCAACTGAATGCTTATAATTGTTTTAAAATAACTGTTTCATGGCCAACTAGTTTTATTGCGCTTACTTATATAGCAATTAAGAATTTATTTTTGGGGTTTTATAAGCGCAATTCATATTGTTTTTTTTTTATACTTCACTTCAATCATAAAACCTTTCATAAGTTAAAATATCATAAGCATCAGTTGTTTTTTTTTTTTTTTATAAGCGTTATAGGGGATTTGTAGATAGCTATATGAATGTTACATGTCTTGCATTATATATGACCATCATAAAGCTGTAGGTAATGGTTGCAGATGCAATAAAACCTTTATAAATTTTGAATATAAACCAAGCAGCTCTAGATTTGATACTTGGGATGGCACGGCAGACATTGCAGATCGCTAAAATTATATTTTGAAAGTTCTGTAAAGTCAATAAACATAATAATATAAAAAGTCCAAAGCACTTGGTCAAATCATCGTCGTTGGACTAATTTAGGACTGAGATATCCATTAACAGAAACATTTCCTCATCCCCAGTCGATACCTTACATTTCTTGCATGGATGTATATTATGCTGGGTCACGGATTATTGAATAAAAAAAAAAGTTTAGTTCCAGTATGATTTCCGGAGGCCTTTTGGGTCCTATAGTAACTGTGTAAAAATTTCAGGTCTGTCGGTGGAACTACAGCCAGCGCATAGATTTTTTTTATCGGAAAACTTACTTTTTCAAATAAAAATCTGACGAGGTCACCCATTGTTGTCTAAAAATAAATTAAACCAATTTTTCCCTAGGAAATTTTACAAGGAAACTTTTCTTTTAAGACCGCAAAACGATCCGACGCTTGTGGAATAGTTATTTAGCAATTTACTGATTGCTAACCAAAAGAACTGCTTATTATTATTGTTTTCTAGCAGCACTGCCAGCTTCTGTTTGCACGAGCCAGTTTTTTTTTATAATATGTCTTGGGAACAAGTTAAAACATTATGTTGGATGTTTTAGTATTAAGCAATAATTGAATTATTTAAAATTGAATTTACAACACTGGTTGATACAGAACTGTTATACATTCACCACATATAGAAGACACTCACTAAATACTTACACTATTAGTACCTAAATGAACACTCAATACGAATAGAACACGAAGAGACAGTACATGAATTGATAGGTATGATAGACAGATAACGAAACAGTGAATTTAGTTAGCCAACCGATAGCGAACAAATAAAGGCAAAAAAATATATACGCGCGCGCATTACAAACCCGTACAAATAAAGTGTATTAAACTTTGGTCCCTAAATAAAGTATTTGGAAGTGGAATTGGTTCAGTTCTATTGCATTTGTGGAAGGAAAGGAAACAAGAGGAGCAAAAGGATACCTAGGATATTCGGAAAAGGATCGGAATTGGAAGGACAAATAGTACGATTCTGAAAAAACACACAACGTAGGATCTAAGGTACATGAGGTGGCTTACAAGGTGTATATTTGGAGCACGGAAAGACAAACGGAGTATTCAGCTCAACCAACGAACCTAAATCCCCCAACATTGGTGCCGTGACCAGGATCAACGGTTGAGTAGGGAAGCGTCGGTGCTGAGGACAATTGGATCATTGTCGTATTGTTACGAGGACTTGGATGGCGCCAAGGCCATGTTTGCTGGCAGTTTGAGGAGACAATTGCGGTGAAATATTTCAACGGCAAGTTAATCAGCTCCCTTTACTTATACCACCCAACGGATCATCTTACACAATATTGTGGGGCTAACTGCAACTTTTGTGGTCGTGCGATTGGCGATATACAACGCGACGTAGCAACACTTCGACAATTGAATGCTACATTCTACACTGGAGTCAGGACGATTAGTGATTGACAAACATCGATTAGTCTTTGAAACTAAGCGCACTGTGGGGTATTCAAACAGTCGGGACATTGAACGTCGATACGTGTGGATTAATCGAAGAACAACATCAAACTGATCTACGAATCGAAAGTTTGTTTTGATTTGGTCTGATCAACACCCAGAGCACAGTCAGATTGGTTCATCTGAGCATCGGTTGGATTCGGCTGGACTCGGTTAACTACACGTGAGGATCCGGATAACGGTTACCGAGCAAGGTATATACATTCGTTTTGGGTATTGCTGGTTCCAGCTATATATATATTATACAAGGCCTCTTGTTGACAGGCCTCAGGTGAGTGCCTGTCCAATCTATTACCCTTTTTGTTTGTTGTGCTACTTGGATCTTTTTCACCAATTTCATATACCTGCGGAACGGAGACATCTCTACATGATATATTCGTCGGAGTGTTTACAACGAGATTAGTTACGAAAGGGATCATATGACGTCGGGCGGTGAAGACCAGAGCTGGTGAGGACCCATACACGGCAGATACGATCAAACCGTTGGCAAGGAAGGTTGACTTGGGCGATTGGCGGAAAGCGATTTTTGCTGGATCGAGGAGTACGTTGAGTACTTCACATGCATATGCTTAAACGGTTTTGGGAAGCGTGAGGCGAGAATATAAATTAAAATCAAGGCCTATTGTTGACAGGCTACAGGTTAGTAGCTGTCCAACATTTTTTATTCTGGTTTGGTGGTGCTGCGTAAGATATTTTTTCCATTTCATTGATTGACTCGACGGAAACGGCATTGGATTTCCTTCTTCACGGGTAGCGATCATCCTTTGAAAATTTTGCAACGGTTATCATTGGAAAGTAACGAAGCAAAGGACCGTATATGGTTGCGGAGGGCTAATAGCTGGCGCATTTGAAATTTATGCAAGGCCTGTATTCGACAGGTCACAGGTGAGTGACTGTCCATTGACTTTATAGTCCTATCAGCGGTACTTCCTGGGTCTTTTTTGTCTATCTTTTCCGGACCTTTGCTTGTGAAACGTTACTTATCTGATAGTGTGGGTATGGCTACAAAACTTAAGGAAAAGCTTAAGAAGCGCGAGCGCATTTTTGCTGCTTTGGATCGGCATAAGCAATTTTTGGATGCATATGATCCGGAAAGTAAACAAGGGCATGTTCAATCCAGGTTGGACAAGTTAGAGGCATCTTGGGAGGATTTTAACGATTTGCAGGACGAAATATCTGAGCTAGATGCGAAAGGCGAAGTAGAGGCGGAGACTAGCAAAGCATACGTCGACTTCGAAGAGCAATATTATGCGATTCGGGCTGCTTTTTTGAGTAAATTAGAACCTTCTACACCAGCAGCAAATTTGGATAATACTCTTGGTCGGAATTATGCTTCATTGGGTGTGCACACAGGGGTTCGGCTTCCACAAATTTCATTACCAGAGTTTGACGGGGATTACAAGGGCTGGCTGTCTTTCAAATCTACGTTCGTGTCGCTGATTCACGACTCAAATGAACTCAGAGACGTGCAAAAATTTCATTATTTGAAGTCTGCACTGAAAGGGGAGGCAGCTAAACTGATCGAGTCTCTAATGATCACAAACGGAAACTACATAATAGCATGGGACACCATCACCAAGCGGTACTCGAATGAATATTTGCTGAAGAAGTGCCATCTTCAGGCATTGATGGAATTCCCAAGGATCGAGAAGGAGTCGGCTGGGCGAATACATGGACTGGTGGACGAGTTCGATCAACGGCTGAAGATTTTGAAGCAGCTGGGCGAAAAGACGGAGCACTGGGGATCGATGATCATCCATTAGATGTGTTCAAAGCTGGATGCGCATACTCTGCAGCTATGGGAGGATCACGCTGCATGGTTACGGGAACCTACGTTCGCGGTATTGGTGGACTTTCTGGAGAAAAGAACGAGGGTTTTGGAAGCTGTGTTATCCAACACCATCAATCACGGCTCTGCTCATCCCAAGGCGGCGGCTAAACGAGAGCGCGTGACTGTACACACGTCTACGGAGGGCGGAAAAAGTGATCCAACCTGCCAATGTTGTGGTGAATTGCATTATTTGGTACGGTGCGCAAAATTCCAGGGTTTTGGACTAAAAGAAAAGTTGGACTTTGTCAACGGAAAACGGCTATGCAGCAACTGCTTCAAAACGGGTCACTGGGTTCGTGACTGCTCGTCAAGGTTTAGCTGCAAGACATGTGGGAAGAAGCACAACACTTTGATACATCCGGGGTTTCAACCTGGTAATGGAGGAGGCAGCAATGCCAAAAGCGACGCAGCTAGGACTCACGTTGCAGCAGAAACAGCGGAAGAAGAACAAATCGAAGCAGCCGAAGGAGTCGCAGTCGGATCATATAGCGTTGGAACGAAAAAGGAAATTTTGAGTTCCAAGGTGTTCCTTTCAACAGTGGTCGTGGCGATACGGGATCAAAATGGTGGTACACAGCTAACCCGAGCGTTGTTGGATAATGGATAGCAGGTCAATGTGATGAGCGAACGACTTTGCCAAATGCTGAAGCTTAAACGTCGAGCAATATGCGTTCCCATAACAGGAGTTGGACAATCGGAATCGACGGCAAGACATGCAGTGAATACAACGGTTAAGTCCAGAGTCATCGATTTCTCTATTGAATTGGATTTCCTGGTTTTGCAGCGAGTGACATCTGAACTTCCTTCGGTTACGATTCCTATCAAGCATTGGAATATTCCTCATGAACTGCAGATGGCGGATCCACAATTCAACATAAGCGGCCGCTTTGATTTGCTACTAGGAGCGGAACATTTCTTCAGTTTCCTACGCGATAGAGAGGTGAAAAGAATGGTGTTGGGTCCAAAGCTGCCAATACTCGTGGATTCGGTATTCGGGTGGATTGTATCCGGACGTGATGAAAGTCTACAGCAGAAACAGTCAGTTCGATGTTGCACGGCAGTCACCCCTATCGAGAGAATCGAAGATCTATTGGAGAAGTTCTGGAGAGTAGAAAGCTGCGACGACCGACCTGCATGGTCAAAGGAGGAACAAGACTGCGAGGAGCATTTCAAGAGTACGCATTCCAGAGCAGAAGATGGCCGGTATATCGTGCAGCTGCCAAAACAAAATAGCTGGGACCGGATGTTGGGAGAATCACGAGCAACGGCGTTGGACAGGTACAAGAAATTGGAGAATCGGTTGGAACGGCACCCGGATATTAAGGAACCATACCACGCTTTCATGAAAGAGTACGTGGACATGCGGCACATGCGAAGGCTAACGACAACGGAACTGCAGGCAGAGGCCAACGGAGTAGGTCAACGGAAGGTGTTTTATTTGCCGCACCACGCGGTGATAAAAGAATCAAGCACAACTACAAAAGTGCGCGTCGTATTTGACGCATCGGCACGTACAGACAGCGGATACTCCCTCAACGATGTTCTTCTGAAGGGACCTGTAATTCAGGATAATCTGCTAAATCTCCTGATACGCTTCCGCAAGCATGAAGTGGCGCTTGTGGGAGATGTGGAAAAAATGTATCGGCAGGTACTTCAGGACGCTAATGACACTCTTCGTCTACGGATATTTTTTCGCTTCACGAAGGATGATCCCATAGATGTTTACGAGTTGCTGACCATAACGTATGGGCTTACACCGTCATCTTTTCTGGCAACCCGGGCACTACAACAGCTGGCTGAAGATGAAGGAGTTGAAGGTACTAAAGCTCGCCTAACGCTACAAAAGGATTTTTACGTCGACGACTATATTAGAGGATCCACAAATGTCGTCGAAACCATCGAGCTTAGAAAAAATTTGACATCGTTGATGGCCAAAGGAGGATTTCCAATCCGGAAATGGTGCTCGAATCAGCCTGAAGTCTTATCCGGTATTTCTGAGGACCAGTTGGGTACTGATCTTACAATAACCTTTGAGTTGAATCCCGATGAAAAGGTTAAAACGCTAGGGATTACTTGGGAACCGAAAGCGGACAAGCTTAGGTTCTTATATAATGTTGGAGAGGAAGAAGGAGAATGGACCAGAAGGCGCATATTATCTGCAATAGCCAAACTATTCGATCCCCTAGGATTGATCTCTCCCTTAGTGGTGACTGCAAAAATAATTATGCTAGAGCTGGCGCTACTGCAAACAGGATGGGATTCCCCAGTACCACCACAACTACAGCAAAAGTGGACGGATTTCCATCGCCGACTGTTCAAATTAGCAGAATTCAGCATACCCAGGTTCTCCTTCATCCCAGACTACGTCGACGTACAGCTCCACTGTTTCGCTGACGCCTCCGATCTTGCGTATGGAGCCTGCTTATATGTGCGTTCCATGGATCAACAGGGCAACGTACGCATTGAGCTTTTGTCCTCGAAATCTCGGGTCGCTCCCTTAAAACGATTGACGATCCCGAGATTAGAACTATGCGCAGCTAGAGAAGCTGCGCATTTATATCAGACAGTTATTGGGGCCCTCGCACTAAATAGAATGCAGGCTTTTTTCTGGTCGGACTCAACTGTTGTTCTGCATTGGTTGAAAGCTCCGCCAAATTCGTGGAAAACCTTCATAGCAAACCGTGTTTCGACTATACAAACAACCACCTATGGACACCCATGGCTACATGTATCCGGTAAGGAGAATCCCGCAGATCTGGTTTCACGTGGAATGGCCATTGAGGATTTCTTGGAAAGTGATCGTTGGAAGCACGGACCGTCATGGTTGAAGCTGGCGCCGAAAGAATGGCTGACGGAATGTCCTGGATCCGTATCTGAAGAAGTAGATCTGGAACCCCGAGTCGTCGTTCAAGCAACCGTTGCCTCGAAAGAGCCCAACATCTTCTTCACTCTTCGATCTTCTTTTCTTCCGTTAGTCAGAATAGTCGCATTATGCTTACGGTTTGCTGCCAACTGCCGAAAATCCACCCAAAGAAACACTTCGTTATTTTTGAGTGTCCATGAGATAAACTCTGCAAAAATGGCCCTCGTGCGGCTGGTTAAAGAAGAATGTTTCTTGGAAGAAATCAACTCCTTGAAAAGGCACTATCAAGTTCCACATAAATCGCCGTTAAAGCTTTTATGCCCTTTCCTAGACAAAGGTGGCATTATCAGAGTTGGCGGACGACTACGACACTCGCTGGAGAACTATGCGACAATGCATCCAGCGGTATTACCAAAATCACATGTCTTCACTCGCCTACTCATCGAACCGTCGAGCAGCCCCACCGAAATGTTACATTGCAGTTTTCATATGCTTTACGACCAAAGCGATAGACCTGGAACTAGTCATGGACCTATCAACTGCTGGATTCTTATCTGCACTTCGCCGATTCATTGGGCACCATGGACTTCCATCGTAGATTCATTCAGATAATGCTAAAAATTTCCAAGGCTCTAAACACGAATTGTACGAGCTGTACAAGAGCCTCAACAGCAAAGCTGCCCAAGAAGCTATTGGATCTGAAAAGTCACAGCAGAAATATCCTGGCATTTAATTCCACCCCGTGCCCCCAATTTCGGTGGATTGTGGGAGGCAGCAGTACGCTCCGCCAAAAGTTGCCTGAAAAAGGAAGTCGGTACGAACCAATTGAGTCATGAAAACTTCTGCACCCTGCTCGTACAAATATCGGCCGCCCTTAACTCTAGACCTCTAGCCCCATTATCAGACGACCCTAGAGACCTCGATTCCCTAACACCAGCCCATTTTTTGATCGGGACTTCTATGAAAGCCCTCCCCGATCTCGATCTTACAGCCATACCCACTAACCGCTTAGCCCACTATCAGCAACGGCAGCAGATGTTCCAACGATACTGGCAGCGTTGGAGTCAAGAGTACCTCACTGGACTTCAGGAAGCAAGTAAGAACCGTCTACCAAGCACCATCCGTGTAGGTAGCATCGTGATTCTTCGGGAGGACAACTTACCACCACTTCAATGGCCCCTAGCGAGGATAACCGAGGTTCACCCTGGCGCAGACGGAGTTATACGAGTGGTGACGATCAAGACGTCTAAAGGAACCTACAGGCGTCCAGCAAACCGCATCTGCCCGTTACCCACCGAGGATTCTGCCGATATTAATTGAATTCATCGAATAGAGATTAAGCTTAAGATTTTGAACGTTATCTAACATAAGCTAGGCTTGTTCAGGTATGTTGAAACTTAGTTTCAAGGAGGGCGGAAATGTTGGATGTTTTAGTATTAAGCAATAATTGAATTATTTAAAATTGAATTTACAACACTGGTTGATACAGAACTGTTATACATTCACCACATATAGAAGACACTCACTAAATACTTACACTATTAGTACCTAAATGAACACTCAATACGAATAGAACACGAAGAGACAGTACATGAATTCATAGGTATGATAGACAGATAACGAAACAGTGAATTTAGTTAGCCAACCGATAGCGAACAAATAAAGGCAAAAAAAAAATATATACGCGCGCGCTTTACAAACCCGTACAAATAAAGTGTATTAAACTTTGGTCCCTAAATAAAGTGTTTGGAAGTGGAATTGGTTCAGTTCTATTGCATTTGTGGAAGGAAAGGAAACAAGAGGAGCAAAAGGATACCTAGGATATTCGGAAAAGGATCGGAATTGGAAGGACAAATAGTACGATTCTGAAAAAAACACACAACGTAGGATCTAAGGTACATGAGGTGGCTTACAAGGTGTATATTTGGAGCACGGAAAGACAAACGGAGTATTCAGCTCAACCAACGAACCTAAATCCCCCAACACATTACTTCTAGCTGAAGTTATGCGATTATTTAAAATATTGCTTTAATTTGGTTTTGTCATTGTAAAGTCAATGTTATCGCAGTGCTTTTTATATGTATCCATCATTTGGTTCAAGGGTCCAAATTTGGCATAATTTGTACGATGACGATTTGTAGCAAATATATTTATTTTTCGTAAATGCCTAGATGGTGTATATAAATTTAAGGATGACAATAGTTCTTTTGAATCGGTGCGATGTGATACGATATCGTTTACGAAAGAAATCATAGCAAATTTACGACGCTCTTTTAATGTTTGGATATTTATGAGCATACACCGAGCTGTGTAAGATTGCAGAGGAAAAACAGTCCAACCTAACTTTCGCAATATTATAATATCGACCTTAACTACATAAGAATATAGCAGAAACGTTTTATGAAACCAAGCATGTTGTTAGCTCTGTTAATAATTGTGTTATAATGATCGGTGAAAGTAAGTTTTGAGTCCAAAATAACACCTAGATCCCAGACTCTATCACACTTTTCTATGTTCTGGTTTCCTAAAGTGATTGTTATATTGGGTAGGATTTGTTTTCCTCTGGTAATTGAGTTACATTTTTTTTTTTATAATTGTAGCAGGGTTTTTTGACACCAAGTATGGAATATCTCTATTTCCTCTTTGATGATGATGTCTTTGGCATCTTTTATTTCCAAAAAAAGTTTAATGTCGTCAGCATAGATTAAAACTTTGACGATCATGAACTGAAAATGTCTAGGTTGTTCTGCGATTAGTTAAAATTTCAGTCAATTAATGATACTGGTCGTAGAGTCCTATGATTTTTTTGAAAGCACTTATAGAACGACTCATTAGAATGAATTCAGACTTCTGATCGGAAAATTGGGCCGGGGGTCACGGAGTGAACATTCGGATGATATCGAACAACAGTGAATATCAATAGGAATAGCAATGTTTTAATTTTCTGCTATGTATGTATGTATGTATGTAAGTAGCCACCATCCTAGCTTGGGTCTTGCCCTGCATGCGGCTCCACTCAAACAACAAGATCAAATTTCGTCATCATTCTGAATTCAACATACTGCTGTATGAAGGGCCAAAAGGGGGTTGGACGGGCCCGTAAGCAGAGACACTTACGCGAAATCCGCGGGAATAAGAGAATCTCCTTCCAACAATATGATCCAACAAAACGAATAATGAAATTCGCAATACATGTTAAGCTTTCCACGGCATGGTTTATTTAAGAAGAGCGCGTCAAATTCATTGCAACTGTTGAAGTGAAATATAACTATCTAAAATGGCAGTACACATTCCCTCCTAGACTCCGGTTGGCACTCCACTCCATTGTCCAGTTACAACTTCAATTATGCCCTGATGCTCCCTCCCGTCCCAGCATTTATTGTAATTTACATTAAAAAATTTATATATAATCATGTAATATAAAATGTAAATAAAATATGTAGTAAAATGAGAAATATAATAAAAAATAGAGATGTTTAACAAAATACAAATAACCTAGATTATTGGTCCTAAAGGGTGATACGGTCAAAATTTGGTCAAGGGAAAACGCGTGTAAATCGGTGAAATCGTTTATTTAAAAAATCAAATTAAATTTCTTTTTCAAGTTCAATTAGTATAAAATTCAGGAAAAATATTCAGTTAGGCTTCCACTTTTCCAAATCCGAATTGCCGGGCCTTACGCTTGACCCCTGCCATCAGATTTTGTACAGCCACCTTGTCCACCTTCTTCGCCGCAGAAAGCCAGTTTGCCTTGAACTGCTGCTCGCCCTTAGCAGTTTTTTTGGTCTTCTTTAGGTTCCGCTTGACAATAGCCCAGTATTTCTCAATTGGGCGGAGCTCTGGCGTGTTGGGAGGGTTCTTGTCCTTGGGAACCACCTGCACGTTGTTGGCGGCGTACCACCCAATGGCCTTTTTACCGTAATGGCAAGATGCCAAATCCGGCCAAAACAGTACGGAACAACCGTGTTTCTTCAGGAAAGGCAGCAGACGTTTATTCAAACACTCTTTCACGTAAATTTCTTGGTTGACAGTCCCGGAAGCTATGAAAATGCTGCTTTTCAAGCCACAGGTACAGATGGCTTGCCAAACCAGATATTTCTTTGCGAACTTTGACAGTTTCATGTGCTTGAAAACATCTGCTACCTTTCCCCTTCCTTTTGCCGTATAAAACTCCTGTCCCGGAAGCTGCTTGTAGTCGGCTTTGACGTAGGTTTCGTCGTCCATTACCACGCAGTCAAACTTCGTCAGCATCGTCGTGTACAGCCTCCGGGATCGCGCTTTGGCCGTCGTATTTTGTTTATCATCGCGATTTGGAGTCACTTGTAAGTCGATAGTCCGGCTCGTTTTTTGGCTCGATGCACGGTTGTAGACGATACACCCAGCTTATTTGCGGCATCTCGGAGAGAGAGGTTAGGGTTTCGCTTGAAACTACCGGCAACTCTCTTTGTCGTCTCAGCGGCTTCCGGTTTTCGATTTCCCCCCGATCCAGACTTCCTGGCTGTCGACAAACGTTCCCCAAACACTTTAATTACATTTGTAACGGTTGATTTGACAACTTTTAGCGATTTTGCCAACTTTGCGTGCGAGTAGCTCGGATTTTCGCGATGCGCGAGCAAAATTTTGATACGCTGCTCTTCTTGCTTGGACGGCATTTTGACAACTGAAGAGTGAATTCCAAAATCAAAATAGGAGCAACATTCTACACACACACACCTTCAAAATGAGGGGTGTTCAGGTTTTTTAAATGCAAAATTGAAAGAAATACGTCAAGTTGATATTGACCAAATTTTTACCGTATCACCCTTTATACACACACTTTTTGTTTTATGTGCCATGAAATGACATAATGCATCATTGTATGTTTTGAAAATATAATACTAAAGTATTGAATGAATAGACCGAAAATCGAGGTTATTTATACATGAGACATTATATTTACAAGGATACTACCAAACCGACCATCAAACGCACTGTCCACAAAAGCAGACGCGTCCCCTCGAAAATGCAATCGAGAAATGTATAAGAACAATCTTCAACTGGAACGTACTCACCAAATCAATATATCCGGGAGCGCATTCCCGATGCTTATTTTTCTCTAGACATTTTTAAACAATTCCTCCTCCAGCGATTCCAAGCACACAATAACTAAATATCACTTTTCTTTTTCAAGTCACTCTGTGCCCAAAAGCAATGCACATCGCAAAAACCTAATAATAGATCAGTGCGGAATGTTTAAATTTTCTGCTGTTCATAAATTTGAGCTGTTCGATGGAAATTAGAAATTTTATATTTTCCTCAAAAACATTGTTCTTGTATGAAGTCACCCGAGATACGATCATTTCCGTGGAATCTTTTCCCGGGGAAACTGTGCTTGAATCGCGTAGGAATACATTTTTGGTAACAAATGCCGCGGATACACTTGTATGACAAACTATGAACATGAGCATTATTTGTATAATAAATTATGAGCTCATTCTAAAACTATACAAGTGTGACCATGGATTTGCTCAAAATGTATCATACAAATAATGCTCATAGTTTGTCATACAAGTGTATCCGCGGAATAACTGTTCTTCTTTCAGTGTGGTTCTGTGATGTTTTCACTGTAAATT